AATTAGCTATCCAAACGAAAGTGCCTCTACCAGCTACCAGTCTGCTACACAAAATAAATAATATATCTATATTGATTGTTTAACAAGAAAATATGGAAGGTCAATATCCTTGGAAAAAATTATTCATCTTTTAATGGATTTCAATCCTTAAATTCCACTCCCCTTCATCTACCAAAAAAAAATAAAAAAATAAAAAATAAAATCTAAAAATTAGATGAGTGTGTTTATATTTTAGGGAAATTTGTCAAATTGGTCCCTAACATTTGCCAAAAAAATTTTTTAGCCCCTAACATTTAAAATCAGCCAAATTTGTCCCTAATATTTAAATTATGATCCATTTTGGTCTTAATGCTCGTATTTGCTCATTTCTCCGACTGAAAATAGCACGCCTCTCTCATGTGGGTATATTTTCAAAGTCAAAATCGGAAAACACACTTAATTTCCTGTTGAGTAAAGTCATTTTCCCTTCATATTTTCTCATTGAAAATTTGAAGAAAAAGCTGACATATAAAACACATTGGTAAAAAAAAACTTATTACATAACTCTCAGTTCGGGGCAAAAGAGGGGAAAGAGGGCGGCACTGTTGTTGCAGCTAGTAATGTGAGTCAGGCTCAATTAGAGCCCTAGGAGGCAGAGACAAATCTAGCCAAGGCTCCAAAGCTTGGATTTTTTATGACAGTGGCTGTATTGGTGGTTAGATGGAGCCCTATGAAGTGATAAGGGGGTGGCCATGTTGATTGAGAAGATGGGGCCAAATGAAGTTGGAAAGTTGGTTGAGGAAACATCTAACATCCCTGGCCGATATTGTCTCACAGTTAGCCGTCCCATGGGGCCGTAGGTTTTGTTCCTAGCGGTGTTGAATAACACAACAAGCTAATGCCTTACCAAAAGGCCTCGACCAAGTGGGGGACATCACAACAGGTTATTAAAGCAGCCCAGGACTTCCTCCCTTAGCCGATGTGGGATCATTACAAAACAAGGGCTGGGTCAATTGCATGCTAGTGGGGACGGAACGAGAATTGCGAGTGGAAAGGGAGAGGGAAGGGAGGAAGATGAGGATAGAGGTGTGGGAAGTGATGCGGCGAGGCTAGAGGTGGTAGGAGGTGAGGGGGGTAGCGGCTATCGATGCTGGTGGTTATTTTGCGGTGGCAGTGGAGAAAGTTTTGAACATTGTCTCTACTACTGGCTTGGCAAGTGTGACATATTTGACCAACAAGTACTTGGATCAAAATGTCAGCTTCTTCTTCACATTTTCTTGTTATTCTTCCTCCATTACACAGCTGTCTAGTTGCAGCTGCGTTTTTCCTCTTCAATTTCATTCTTTTAGTGAGGCAATTAGGACACAAATAGGTAAATATGAAGGAAAGATGGCTTTACTCAACTAGAAATAAAGTGTATTTTTCGGTTTTGCCCTTGAAAATATACCCACGTAAGAGAGCGCGTGCGCCTTTCGAGGTTAAATTACCTGGTCTTGGAACAGCCATTCAGGTCCCAAGATCCAGGGTTCGAACCTCTCTTAACGCTTGGGTGCTCTTGGGGGGCGGAGCACTTCAGGTGCAGGGTGATTAGTCTGGCAAAGTTGAGATGCACCCTGTATTGACAAAAAAAAAAAAAAAAGAGGCATACTATTTTTAGTCGGAGAAATAAACAAATACGAGCATTAGGACCAAAATGGATCATAATTTAAATATTAGGGACAATTCTGACTGATTTTAAATGTTAGGGACTAAAAAAGTTTTTTTGAAAAATGTTAGAGACCAATTTGGCAAATTCCCCTATATTTTAATATCGTAATCAACTTACGGATGATAAGTAAACTTCAACCACCACTTAAAGCTACACCACATTCTTGCCAACACAGCCTTTTTTCTTCTTCATTTTTTGTTTTTTTTTTCCGGCAACACACTTTACATTAGATTAAAAAAGTAAATTGCTGTTTAACTGGAGAAAAGGGTCATGGTAAAGCAGTTGGAAGAATTCCTTGTTGATAGTTGATGAGCGAAATCTGATGCAAATTTCTCAAAATCTGAAAAGCAAGAGAAAACCCCTTCGACGTCCAAACTCCCAGTCTCCCACGCTGCACCCCTCCCTTCCCCCTCTTCTTGTCGGCCAATTTGGATGCTACTACAATTTTGCCGAATCCCATTAACCCCTTAATTTCTTTTCTTTTTCTTTGTTGTTGGATTTTTCTTTTTCTTTTTCCTTTTCATTTTTATCAATTGCAGGTAGAAGGAGGAGGAGAAGGATTCGAGCCCCTGATTGGAGACATGGGTTCTTCCTCTAAGAGGAAATCTGCCAAAAAGAAAAGTTCCAAACTTTCTTCTCAGGTAGCAGTATCGAGAATCTGCTATGTGACTTTTATTTGTTTCTGATAAATTTTTTGCTATATTTGTGCTGGATTCTCTATTTATTTCATGTATTGTGTTGGGTTTATCTTGGTTGTTCTTCAATGTTGTTTCAATAAACAGGCCTGCTCAGACATATTGAGAATAATTAATGGAAAAAATTGGAACTTTAAGCCATTAGCTTAGCTTAGGGCGCATTTAAAGTGGCCATTCTGAAAGTGCGATATGAACAATTGAAACTTTAAGGCATTAATTTGGTTTCTGTATTGAACTTGAAATGGCTGTTATTTCCTGTCAATTGACTTTAGTATCTGTATTCTGATTATTAAAAGCAATCAAATACTTTTTATAATCTTCTTGTTTACTTGCAACAAATACTTCTAAACGTCGTAAACATGTCTCAGTTTCTTGCCTTTCTGTATATCTTATGTGGTTAGGCTCGCAAGATGAAGAAGAGTGGGAGGACTAAATCCAAGAAACTTGGTCGCCGTCATGATTCCAGTACTGATGATTCCATGAGTTCAGATTCCATTTCCTCACCTGGTAATGATTCTTATGCTTCAAATTCTGATGATGACTCCATGAGTTCCGCATCTATATCTCGGTCCAGTTCAAAGGATTCTTACAGGAGAAGGAAAAACAAATCGCGCTCACGAGGTAAACTAAAGAAGACCAGAAAGCGAGCTCGAAGGAGATCTTCCAGCAGAGACAATCGTAAGAAATTAGCTCCCATGAAAAAAAGAAAAAGGTCAAGAAAGGATAGTGATTCTAAGACAAGAAAGAAATACGGCAGAAAGAAACGTAGGAGGGATTCAAGTGCTAGTCCCACAAGCAGCAATTCACACAGCTGCTCTACTTGCAAAGGTGGTAATAGTGACAGTGAGGAGAGCGAACGTGAGAGCGTTTGGAGCAGGCCTAGAGAAAATAAGAGAGATTTAAGCAAGGACAAACGTAGAACCAAACTTAGCTTCCGTAGGTCCCCAAGTCATTCTTCACACAGTAGGTCTAAGGATCAAAGTGGTAGTGTTAGTTACAGTGAGGAAAAGTTTCTGAATGAGAACAATTCCCGGCGTTTGAGATCTGTTATAACATTTGTTGAGCAGAGGAGTGAGGGAGAAGGGAACGAATGGAAGAAGGATCTACAGAATGAAGAAATTGTCTATGATAATGACGATTATCCTTCCAGAAGCAGTAGTGGTGGGGGAAGCAAAAAGGAATCAACTCCTCGTTCACCTATTGCATTTGATGTTGAGAAACGGACAGAAAGTCCTATATTTGTTTCTGAACATGAGGTGACTGAACTTTCAGGAAGTGTAAATGATGCGCATGACATGAATGAGTTTGCGACACGCAGTTCTGCAAAGGAAAATGGGAATTACACTCCCCTTGTGGGTGCTGGTTCAGGGGGTGATGATCTGGAAGCAATTTTGAGGCAGAAAGCTTTGCAGAATTTGAACAAGTTCCGAGGAGGACATAAAAGTAATACAAAGCCTACTTTGGATCAGAAAAATAAGGATGATGGCAATGTTAATGCATCATCCACTTCCACAGCAGCGGTTGAAAGGGTTGTCCTTGACAGCGGACACACTGAAAAGGTTTATGGAATTGTGAAACAGAATAATGATCATCCAGCTGATGGGTCGGGACTCTCTGGGAATCCCAAGGAGGACGGCCTGAATAGTGGAAATCCTGTTGTTGGTAAATCTGTATCTGGAACCTCACCATTTAGGGGAAGATCTTCAGGCTTGGACATGCGGCATCAAGCCACAGCATCAGGAGCATCTCCAGATAAAATTCTGAGAGAAATTAAGAGTGAAGGGAAGACTACAGCTACAGTACAAACTACATCCGTGGCTGGAAACTCGTCATTTTGGGAAAGTTCTTCAGGCTTGGACACACCCAATAAAACTACGACATCAGTTGCATCTCCAGAAAAATTTCTGATGGAAACTGAAAGCGACAGGAAGACTGAGCTTAAAATAACTCAACCATTGTCTCCTAGCGTGGGCATTAATAAAGGTTCTGCTTGTAGCTCTGCGACTGTAGAACCAGCTTTATCTGCTACTTCAGGAGGGCAAAGTTTGAACAATCAGAAAGATGAAGCTAAGGATGGCGGACAGTATCAGCAGAAGACGATGTCTGTGATGAGAGGCGGGGAAATGGTACAGGTAGGAGCTTTCTAAAGTATCATTAATAACGTATTTACTGAAATTTCCAATTTGTAAATGTTGTGTCGAGTTCTGCTTTACTTGCTAGGGAGTTTGACATTTGGAACCATGTTCCCAGGTAAACTACAAGGTCTACATTCCTCAAAGAGCTCCCGCTCTTGCCAGGAGACAACTCAAGCGGTGATTTTGGAGGGCAGGGGACTTGGTGTGGACAACTGGGATTTTGGTAGTAGTTGGATCCAGAATCTGTAATTGATTGCTAGTTGAAAGGAACCTTGACTGGTTATAAAGTGAAGGCCGATGGATGCCATATCAGTTGATCATACTCTTTGAATAACTGGATGTTTATCAACACCTGACAGCTCATTAATAAGTTCTAAAATTCAGTACAATTTTGCATTTGAATTGGAATACACCTGTCTTGGTAAAATGATGTCAAGAGATTGGTTGGCCATTGTTTGACAAGGTAATTGCTTCCGCAGATAATATAATAGCCACCTTTTTCCTTTAAAAGAATTAGCTAAATTTTATATATGTATGTATGTATATAATCACTTGCTCATCATGTCCACTGTGCTTAATTATTCTGGATGGGCTGCATTTTGAACATGACATTAACCAAGATTTATTTTCTTAAAACCAGCTAGGCAAGCCCAATCATCCATCTTTGACACTTTAATATCTTCCAAGAATGGTGAGTACCGTTGGATGATGCGCGGAACCTGCATCAAGAATTTTAAATAATTTAATCAGGGAAACTTTTGAAATGTGGTTCTTCATCGAAGAACGGTAATATGGTAGACAAGGATGATAAACCATTAATAGATTTATTAGTTTGATAATCTTCTGGAATACCAGCGTACTGTATGTGGACATGACACAGCTTTACTTACAATTTGCTTTAGAATACGTTGGTCACTGCACTACTTGGACAACATTTAGGATAATAGCCTCTCTTAGTCATGTTAAGCTAATCATCTAGCAAGGTATTATCTACAATCAGTTGCATCCTAAGACGTACCTGCTCAGATATGATACCCGATAGACCCACTGTGGCTCCAGGCTTTGCATGGGAGACAATTTGGTCAGCCAAATCTAGCAGAGGATTCAGCAGTATATTTGCAATAACAACATGAAACTTCTCTGTCTCGGTGAAAACTCCTTTATCATTTAAATGCTGCCTGTCTGTAGGTTTACTTACAATTTCGTGTGTAAAAGTAGCACTGCCTGTACTAGGAACCAGACTTAAAAACAGTTTTTCAGGCTGTATGTTATTCAAAGCAGCATTGTGTTGAGCAGCTGTAATTGCTTGGGGGTCTATATCCAGCCCAGCTGAAAAAGCTGCACCAAACTGCATTCATGATCAAAATTTAAAGATCAGAACCCAGAATCAAGTCAACATAGAAGCAAGGTCGGATTTAAGAAGTACTGCAAATAAGAATCCAATGAATTGCTCAAGATGATACTGTCATGAACTTTGATACCTGGACTACCAATTCAGTTGCAACAGAACACAACAAATTCAAGTACTAACTTCGATATTCATCTTAGGTTCAGCACCATCCTCCTATGTAAGCATTAAACAGAAAGATTTGAGTACCTTAATTGCTGCAATAGCGAGGATACCAGACCCTGTCCCATAATCCAAGAAAACTTCTCCTCCTTTTATTACATCATAGAGCAGCATTAGGCATAACTTAGTTGTAGGATGATCCCCGGTCCCAAATGCTAATCCAGGGTTTAGAATTATATTAGTTGCTTGAAGATCCTGCAAATTTAAGCATTCAAAATTTCGAGCGAGTATGCAAGTGTAGATCAATAGTTCTTAGTCAGACTTGGGGGGAGAATAAGACAATTTGAGAGTCTTGCTTCAACCAGAAAATTCATCTTTTTAGACCAAAGTCAACACCACAAAAATCATATAGTGAATCCTCATATGCAGAAAGAATAGCTCAATGGACATTAAATTAGCGGCTGAGTAAGAAATATGATTGGAACTTGTAACTATGATTAACCATTTTAAGGTCTCAGTAAACAACACTAATTCCACAAAGACGAAATGCTAGTTCCTGAAAGATGTTAATGTTAATGGAACCTCAAAAGGGAACAGAATAATCATACTGGGGGCTTTCTCCACTCAGGCACGATCCAAATTCCTTCAATAACTTCTACAGGATGAAATGATTCCTGCAAGACAGACAATATCCAAGAAATTATTGTGTTAGAAATTCAGCTATAAACTGGGTAAAACAAACTGGTATACAGACCACCAAAATCCACATTAACCCTCTAAAATGTAGGGTAAAAGTAGGATAAAAAGGCCTCTCAGATACATTACACATGCAGAATCAACAACTCCTCATTCTCCCGGAATTTAGCTATCCTAGGTAAAACTGCGAGATGCTGTTTAATCTTGACATTATTGTCATTTCACTTGTCTTTATAAAGCAAAGAAGCATTAACCTGACTTTCCTTAATCCAATCAGTGTGGTCATGCATCACTACATCATAACTTGGTATCTCTTTCAAGCCTATGGAGTCAACAGCAAGTGATATGCTTTCCTTCACATCCTGACTTACAGAGAATATGGAACTGATGCAAATCTGCAGAAATTTTAAGGAGATACCATTGAGCTACAGTTAGAGCATATTAGTGAACAAGCTGCATCAGAAAAATATCAAATGAGCTAACTCTTACAAAATCAGTAAGATAATACAATCAAACCTACCCAAGTAATCGTAAATTCCAAGTAGAACTGGCTAACAGTTGAGACATGGTCTCCAAAAAAGGAACCTTTCAAAGAACATGGTTAGCATTTTGTAGCTCTATTTGTTCAATTACTTTAAGAGCATAGAAACAATTTACATAGTAACCACTTTCGTGTTTCTGATGCTCTTCTACACAATCTAGAACACAATACAAAAAGTAAAATATTACATTTCAAAACCAAATAAAGCATGAGAGAATGAAGAAATTGGCTTTCTACCTCATCACCAACTTCACTATCATCATCATGTTCATCAATGCTGGTAGAGTTGGCTCCAAAACATAAAAGGGCTTCTGAAAGCATATCCTGACCAAAGAACAGAAGCCATGTATATTGAAGTAATTCTTTCAACAAAACTTATCCAAATAGGGCAATTATAACTACAAGTTTTTTTGTTTTTTATCATCCTGCCTCGTAAAAGCTTGCGTTGCATTATTAATCATTTTCCTGTAATGAAAAATAGCTGTAACCTGCAAAATTAATCAAATTAATTACGAAAAAAGAAACCCATAAAACCCAAAGCAGTTAATTCTACTAGCATGCATCTGATATCTAACTATACAGCAATAAAAACAGACACACACACACACAGTGTTACTGAGTTTAGCTAAAAGTATGGGCTAAAAATTAGAACTTATTAGCCTTTGAAAGTAAACGTCTCATTTTTTGCCGCAGCACATATACATGCACACGTATAGGTAAGGGGAAAGAGCTCACTGCAACATTTTTCTGGCAGCAAATGGTCACAGAAAGGTAAGGAGAAGTATAAGAATCGGTCGGTAAAGTCTCCAGAGAAGAAGAAGAGCGTGAGGTTGAAAAAGTAGCAGTCTTTGAAGCCAGCTGGCTTAAAAGTTTGTATCTTTCTGAGAAAAAGAACACTGAGTCTGAGAAGCGGCTTTGCCCAACGATACCCCGGGTTCGGTGGCCGAAAATAAGGGCAGTGGCGGTGGAGGCGGCGGCGGCAGCTGTGGAGGTGCAGAGGAGGTGCTTGAAGAAATGACTGCGCAGAGAATTGATTACCAGTGACATTTTTTTTTGTTATGTTTTCTTAGGAATTAGCAGTTTCCTTACATTCTTAGGAATTACGTGACATTTTTAGTTGAAGAAGTGTACGGGAAACAACAAATAAATAAAAGAGTAGAACTTTTTGGCAGATTTCTTTATTTATTTATTTTTTTTAGAGTTTATATCTTACCACAATTTTCACAAACGCTCTTCTCTTTGGTGGGTGAACCCTTTTTTTTTTTTTTCTTTTTTCTGTCTTCTCCTTCTTCTTTGTGAGGTTAGAAAAGCTATATGATCCCAATTTAGTAGTATTACATTATCAAAATTTTGCTATGGTTCGAATTTATTGTACAAAATGATTGGTAAAACTAGATAAGGTTCTCATAATAAGTCTTTAATAACCGTGCTCATAAACAAAAGTCAACTGAAGTTTCCTTAGGGAAGTAGACTAAAAAAAAACTTTAGGCAAAAGGGCAAAAGTCCAATAGATAATTTGTTTTCTCATGTATTTTCACAGATTTTAGTAATACGAATTTATTGCTTTTCCGTCTTTTACTTCGCAATAACTTTCAACAAAAGAAAAGAAATAGTCATTGTAATTCTACTTCAATATAATTTCACCATCAAAATCTACGTTATAGGAGCATTTTTTTTAATGTTATAACAGAAATAATGCAAATTATTTGTTCAAGAAAAGAATAATGCAAACAAATTTGAGATTTCTTGAAAACCAATTTTACAAATACCAACTGAATTTAAAACCAAAAATTGAGAAACATATTTTGAGAAAAGTGGGGGAAAAAGAAAGGGATAATTTCAGAAATCTCCCCTGAGATTTTTAATAATTTCACTTGGCTCCCTTAAGACTTCAAAAATTATACTTACCTCCCTTGTCCATTTAAAATGATAATACTAATCTTAATATTTTTAATAAAACTCTCTTGTTGCCATGTTTATGCAAATGATGGATTTTATAATTTTTTACCATTTTCCTTGTTATTCATTTCTCTTATGTTTCATTAGAAGTATAAAAAAACTATCAATATTATTCCTAATATCTATCCAAATTAAACGTTAAACTAGTAATATTTTTTTATAACTTTTAATATCCTCCAATTTTTTTGTAGCTCTTTTTTTTGGGTATCAAAATCAAGGATAAGTCAATAATGATTAAAAACAAATACCCCAAAATCATTACCAAATTATGATAGTTCCACCACTAAACTAGTCCATAAATTTTTATTAAAAAAGAAATCCTTAAACTTTAAAAGAAACAAAATAGCACTTTCTTCTCTATCTTAAAAAGAATTTATATTTTCAATAAAGTCCTATGAAAAATACCCTATTATAGCAAAAGATTTATTGTTATAGTTGATTATTAAATAACAAATATTAGCATGAAAATCTTGATACTTTTTTCCTTTAGAAGAACAGATTGAACTTTATAAGATAAGGGCATTTTAGGGTATTCATTAAAATTTTTGCTCTATTTTAAAGTGTGGTTACTAAAGTGTCAAATTAAGGGAGATAAATGTAATTTTTAAAACATCAAGAGAACTAAGTAAAATAGTAAGAAACCTCAAGGGAGGTTCCTGAAATTATCCCAAAAAGAAAAGAACGAGTGACCATCGAGAGAATGGGTCAATCCTGTCTGATTTGTTTCCCACCAACCAAATCACAAGATACAAATTCCCTCGAGGAAAGAGAGAGATAAAGAAAATGGTATTCTCCTCCAACCCATTAGCTCTGAGCGTACCCGACCCGGATTTTGAGTCTTGGCTCCGAAACAAAGGCTACCTCGAAATCCTCGACCAACGCACCTCCGACCTCCACCGTCTTTCCACCTCCACTTCCGCCGCCGCCGCCGTACGATCCTCCCCCTCTTCCTCCTCCTCCATCACCATCGCCACCACCACCACCATCATCCCCTATGGCCTCTTTATCTCCCTCTTTTCCCACTTAAAAACTCTTTTCTCTCTCCTCACTCTCAACCCCTTCTCTAAGCTCACCTCCGACGACTTTTCCGGCGACACCCCTTCTTGGACCAACGCTTTTATTGGCTCCTTCAACTCCTACTCCTTCCCCACCTCGCCTGCCCAGGCCCGCCTTCGAGCCCACGAGAATGTTAAACGCTTTGCTCGCAATTATGCCTCCCTCTTCATCCTCTTCTTCGCTTGCTCTCTGTAAATTTCTGAACTCACCCGCTATCTTCATTAGCTTACTTTTTTCTTTCTTTGTCTCAAAACTCAAAAAAAAATTTCCAATTTAAGTTGTTAGTTTTGATTATTTCTTATAGTTATTCTTTGCATGGGGATAATGATTTTGTCTTTGCTGTTTGTTGGAAACGGAGGAATTCATTCTTTTCCCGTTTAGTCACTGATATTTTGTTTACTCGAAGCTAATGAACAAATCAAAGCTCGTTAGTTGTGGAAAGATATGAGGTGAACTTCATCAAACTAGGAAGAATTCTTTAGACAACTCAATATGACTAATTGATTTTTGGAGGAATAGGATAACGTAGTAGAATGTTGAGTTAGATCAAAAAATGTGGAAAATGTGTAAATTTTAAGGTTGTTTGTGCTGTTAGTGGATTGATGGATTTCAAGATGCTTTTGTATTTTCTCCCGGTTGACATTTCTAGGTGACCTGTTACCTATGTGTGTGATTTTGGGGTAGTATTTTATTCCTTTTATGATTTTGTTTCGGTAATAGGTATCAGATGCCGCTTGCTCTTGTGGGGTTGATAGCGTGCTTGGCACTTTGGGATGTGTTCAGATATTGTGGTGATCGATGGCAACTAGACCAATATCCTGTTTTTAGACAGACCTTGGTTCGCATTGCACAATGTAGTAAGTTTTGACCTTATTAAATTCAATTCTGTGTTTTTCTTCTTGTGGCATTTTTTGCTTGGAGATGCATAAGTATCTTGTTGCATATTTCGTTAGGAGATGATAAGCATAATGCAGGAACGAATAATTGACTAATGTTTGGCAATTGAGGAATATGTATTGAAATGTTCATGACTAATTAAGCAGAATTGATTGGTTTGGAAACCGTTCTTTTCTTAATGAAGTTCAGTGAGTTCATGATGCCTCCTTAAAGCATATCATTCTTAGGCTCTCTCTGCAAGTCAAAGTATGCCTTCTTAATTTTGTTAGTTTCTAGCTCCTTGGATTATTTCGTCTTCCAGAATATTTTAAAGCCTTTTTAGCTAGACACCCGCCCCTGGGGGGGAGGGAGGGGGGGCAAGGAATATCTAATGCATCATCCTCTCTGGACATTGTGGGGCTTGATGGACAGCATTAGTGGTGGATGCCAAACCTTAACTCGGCTCATTCTCATCTTACCTCTTTTTATCTCTCATTAGTCAGTGGGCTCATGATAATTATCCTATTCCTGAGAAAATTGTTTCTTGGGATTAGGATAAGTCATAAGTAAACAGGCTAATTACATTAGGTAAACAGCTTGTAGGGCTCTTCCTTTTTGACCCTCTAATTCTTCCCCCTCAACTTCTTCATGATCCCGCAGTTCTTGCTCTTGCTGAGGCCTTTGGGAAGTTCAATGAAGTTTTTTCTCCTTGTCTGTGTCTCCAAATCTACTTTTACTGCTTGATAATGTCCCCAGTTAGCGCAAGATTTGCTACACGTTTTGCAGATTGCAGGACTTAATTGAGATTGAGCCTTTTTGTATAATTTGCTTTGTCTTGACTGGAGGAGGACAAAACAATTACTGTTCTTAAGAAATGCTGAGTTGATTAACTAATTTTTGACAAAAGTCTTGCACTGTTCTACGTGGTATAGATCATTTCCCAGTTTGTCATGTTTCAAGGCTCTTAGTATTTCAGGTCACATTTGCTCTAGTTGATGATTCTTAGCAATTTTACATTCATGTAACTACTAACTCTCTCGGATGCTTATCAACTTAACTGTGCCTTCAAAACGTTAACGTTCCATTGACTTTTGCAGCAACTGCAGTTATTCTATTCTTCTCCAATGTTCAAGTAACCCTCCTATGCGCTCTTAGTGTAAGTTATGCAGGTAAGGCATTAGTTCTTCTGCTTAGCAATTTTTATATTCAAACTGCTTTTTCCTTTCATGAAACAGAACTTTGTAGCGACTCCAAAATCTGATCCCCTCCTTAACATGATTGCAGTCTTGGTTTTGCATGCTTCGTTAAGAAAACTTACCCCAGGAAAACAATCTACGCCAAGTGACAGAAACAGGAGCAGCAGTAAAAGATGAGGAGAAACGATGAAGTGTTGAAGATTATTGTCTGTACATTGTAGCTGGCCAGACTGCCCGGATCATATCTGCTTGCTGAACCTATTAGCTATATGTCCCACAGATACTAGCGTCCAATTTTATCAAATCACAGACTAGGTTCAGTTCATCTGTTCTTTTCTGCCTTTCTCTTCCCACGGGTACTTAGTTATTGACTAGTTTATCGTAGAAAGACGAAAATGGAGCCTTTTGTCAGTCATTTCCATTCCCATTATAACAACTTCTTTTAGGGGGTGCTTGTTTTATAAATTGGAATAGGAAATGGAAATGAAATCATAGACTCCGGTTTTGGAATTAAACTTTTTATTCAAATATCTAGTTTGGTTCACATATTGGAATTAGCATCATTCCAATTCCCGATGCTTGGTTTGATAAGTGTTTCGGAATTAAATGCAATCAAATTCCAAATTTACCTTTGATATAACAATTCTTATAAAATAAAGAGATAATTGCAGGAACCTCCCTTATAAGAACAGAGTACTCATTTTTTCATAAACAAATTTATTTATCGGATAAAATAAAAATAAACTTGTTTTTCAATAAAACACCAGCTCTTTATGGCTTTCTTTCATTATAAGAACAGAGTTTTCATTTTTTCATAAATAAATTTATTTATCGGATAAAATAAAAATAAATCCGTTCTCCAATAAAATACTAGCTTCTTATGGCTTTTCTTTATAAGTTGTCCATTTTTCCATTTTTTCATAAGCTAATTTATTAGTTGGATAAAATCAGAATAATGTTAAATCACAAAACCTACAAAGTCTTGGATTTGCGTTTCCAATCTGTAATTACAGATTTATTGCAGATTTGGGTTT